CCAAGCGTTGCCACTTCCGCCTTGGCGCAAATCCGCCGATCCAAGCGCCTTGCTGGGAGGGAAGATGACGGGGTTTGTGCCGTCGACCTCAGAGTGACACCCAGCTCGGGAGCTGGGGAGGGCACCTGTTTCAGGACGGACAGAAATTAAGTCAGACACATGCTAACAGTTGCTAACCCTGGCATGCCGTGTAATAGGCACTTTCCGAGCAGAGTTGAGAACAAGTCGACCTCTTGACTGAGTCAAAAAGGTGCGACAAAACAAAACAACCTAATCACCACGTGGCTTCCTTTGGAGGAAAATATGGGTTTCTCATATCTTTTTCGCATCCAATAGTTCTCCCAGGCCAGCTGAACGGATGATGGGCTGACTACTCTGAGGAAATATCTGAGTCCTGCCAAATAATGACGAGCCGCTTTCGCCCCAGCCAAGCCATGCCAAGGGAGCTCAATTCTCCCAACGCGACGATGATGTCGTTGATAAGCGTGCAAAGCTAGTTCAATGGAGCAGGACCTGAAACGCACCTGGCCCCAAAAGTCATTTTGGGACGCAAGAAACATGCTGACCAATGAGACTAGGGTTGTCGCTGCCACCAACAAATGACATATGTGCCCTTTGCGCTTCGAAACACCGTCTGATTGAGCAACGCGCCCTCCCCAGTCCTTTCCCAAATAGAGCGCAAAGCGCAAGGGGATCAGGCTTCAGGAGAGTTTGTTGTTGTGCTTGATGTCTAAGCTTGTCGTTTGGTTCTAGCAGCTCGAATGTAATCAAACTTAGAGCTTAGCAGGGTTGCGTACATTGCTGAGCGGGTGCACTGGAGCGGGGGTTTTATCATGGGTGCACGGTGCGCAGTGCTGAGCGGGTGCACACAGGTGCGCTGGAACTTGTTGTTTAATCATTGGCTATGTGTGCAGTGCCCAGCAGGTGGCACTGGAGCGCGGGTTCTTATCATCACCCTTGAAATGCGATACTGACACAACTCCGCACGGTTCAATCAGAGCGGTCCCAACAACAAGAACACATTGACATCACAAATGAGCGGTGTTATCGCCATTTTATCTTGACATTGCAGGATACTGCGAGATCCACAAAACCTTCCGCGCTGCTTCCGCGCGCCCAAAGGATACCTTCCGTGAGCCTCGGATGCTTCTGCGGGCTGCCGCGCGCACCTGTTGTCGAGCTTTGACTTGCCTTCCGCGCGCACATGTTTGGGCTGGTCCGCAAGTGTGGCTGTGCCGTGTGCGTGGTTCAATTGGCTTTACAGCAAAACCAACCAGGACTTGCCTGGGAGCGGAAGGCTTTGGCCCCCGGAGCTTGCGCGAACCTTCCGTGAGAATCCCGTAGTTTTGAACATTTTGGTTGCTGCGAGGCTGCGAGGCTGCCTTTGCACGATGGCCCTCGGCCCCTGAGCCGGACGTTGGCTCATTTCAGTTGTACTTCCTGAAGATGCCGAGCTTCCTCCGAGGAAACTGCTTTCTGGGGCTTCCGCTCATGTGCTTGGCGATACTTTCAGAAACATGTCCGCTGCTTCATTGATTAAACATGGCCGCTACAATTTCGAACGCTGCTCAAACTGAGAGCCAAACAAATTGCTGCAACTCCTCCCCCCCCCCCCCCCCGCACATGCGACTTCCGAGGTCCCTGCCTTAAGACTCACCGCAATGCCCGCCTCAGGCGAGGGACACAGTTTGGGACTGCGTCAAGACGAGCTCGCTTGGGACCCCTCCATCTGTGGCTCATTCTCAAACAGGCCACACTCATTCTGCACCGTACAGTATGCTGCCGGTAAGGTGAATGAAGCGATCGGGATCACCCTCCCTCACCGACTCTTGGCGGGGTGGTCCCTGTCACTCCTTTGGGGCACGCTTGGCATACCTCTATGCGCAAGGCTAGACCTCTAGGTCCAAATATTCTTCCAATCAGGTTGGCTAAAAAGGACCCCAGCTATTAAACCCGTCCCAATCCCTGCTTCCCCAGTCCTTGCTCACAAGTCTGTCTGAGACGGGTGTGTTGATGCGTTTGCCAATCCCTCAATCCGAATCTGCATGTGAAAACCAAGGACCATTTGCCAAATCACCCTCTTGGCCCTTTGTTGAGGGGTTTCTACTCACCGTGCCATTCAACACCTGACCTGCTGTTCAAGGGGTCGCCGAAACTATGGCCGCCGGTTGAAAGTAGGCCAACATCACACCACGCCCCACGCGAAGTCACAGATCGGAGTTTATGGGGACCATCTGTCGCATAGTTGTTTGGGGGAAACGAAAGGAGTCCTACCCGTTTTGTAGGCCCCACCTTTTTTGGGACACACCCCGATTTTGACCACAGGAACACCACGCAGGCTTGTTCCGTCAAAGACATGTCTTTGAGGGAGTGAACTCCCCGTTTAACTGCGCTAGTTTTTGGCCCGAAACATCAACCATGTGTGTGTGTGTGTCTGTGTGTGTGTGTGTTTGTGTTTTTGTGTGTTTGTGTGTTTGTGTGTTTGTGTGTGTGTTTGCGTGTTTGCGTGCTTGTGTGCTTGTGTGCTTGTGTGCTTGTGTCCTGTCCTTGTGTGCTTGTGTGCTTCTGTGCTACTGTGCTTCTGTGCTTCCGTGCTTCCGTGCTTCCGTGCTTGCGTGCTTCGGTGCTTCCGTGCTTGCGTGCTTGCGTGCCGGCGTGCTGGCGCGCTGGCGCGCTGGCGTGCTGGCGCGCTGGCGTGCTGGCGTGCTTGAGTGCTTGCGTGCTTGCAGGCTTGCGTGCTTGCGCGCTTGCGTGCCTGCGTGCTTGGGCTTGCGAGCGTGCGGGCGTGCGGGCGTGCGGGCGTGCGGGCATGCGGGGGTGCGGGCGCGTGCGCGTGCGCGTGCGGGTGTGGGTGCGCGTGCGCTCGCGCGTGCGCGTGAGGGTGCGTGTGCGTGTGCGTCTGCGTGCGCGTCTGCGTGTGCGTGTGCGTGTGCGTGTGCGTGTGCGTGTGCGTGTGCGTCTGCGTCTGCGTCTGCGTCTGCGTCTGGGTCTGGGTCTGGGTCTGGGTCTGGGTCTTTGTCTGTGTCTGTGTCTGTGTCTGCGTCTGCGTCTGCGTCTGCGTCTGCGTCTGCGTCTGCGTCTGCGTCTGGGTCTGGGTCTGGGTCTTTGTCTGTGTCTGTGTCTGTGTCTGCGTCTGCGTCTGCGTCTGCGTCTGCGTCTGCGTCTGCGTCTGGGTCTGGGTCTGGGTCTGGGTCTGGGTCTTTGTCTGTGTCTGCGTCTGAGTCTGGGTCTGCGTCTGCGTCTGGGTCTGGGTCTGGGTCTGGGTCTTTGTCTGTGTCTGTGTCTGTGTCTGCGTCTGCGTCTGCGTCTGCGTCTGCGTCTGCGTCTGGGTCTGGGTCTGGGTCTGGGTCTGGGTCTTTGTCTGTGTCTGTGTCTGTGTCTGCGTCTGCGTCTGCGTCTGCGTCTGCGTCTGCGTCTGCGTCTGCGTCTGGGTCTGGGTCTGGGTCTTTGTCTGTGTCTGTGTCTGTGTCTGCTGTCTGCTGTCTGCTGTCTGCTGTCTGCTGTCTGCTGTCTGCTGTCTGTCTGTCTGGGTCTGGGTCTGGGTCTGGTCTGTCTTCTGTCTGTCTGTCTGCGTCTGAGCGTCTGCGTCTGCGTCTGGGTCTGGGTCTGGGTCTGGGTCTTTGTCTGTGTCTGTGTCTGTGTCTGCTGTCTGCGTCTGCGTCTGCGTCTGCGTCTGCGTCTGCGTCTGGGTCTGGGTCTGGGTCTGGGTCTTTGTCTGTGTCTGTGTCTGCGTCTGCGTCTGCGTCTGCGTCTGCGTCTGCGTCTGGGTCTGGGTCTTTGTCTGTGTCTGTGTCTGCGTCTGCGTCTGCGTCTGCGTCTGCGTCTGCGTCTGCGTCTGCGTCTGCGTCTGCGTCTGGGTCTGCGTCTGCGTCTGCGTCTGCGTCTGCGTCTGCGTCTGCGTCTGCGTCTGCGTCTGCGTCTGCGTCTGCGTCTGCGTCTGCGTCTGTGTCTGGGTCTGTGTCTGTGTTTTCCGTTAGGGGTTCCCTGGGGCCCCGCTCCCCCGATCACACATGACCAGATGAGTGCGCCCCCATGTTTGCCTTCTGCCATCCCATTTCTCCGGAGACTCGATATTGGGCGCCCGGGCCATGCTAATCAGGCCCAGCAAAGCAAAGGCACCGAGGACCTCAGAGGCGTCTCGGGGGTCTCCAAAAAGGCCGGAGTCCCCCACATGCGGGGTCTTTCTCTGGCTTTCCTCTTAAGAAATCCCAAAAGAAGTACCCACAAGGTCAAGGTTCTGGAAGATAGCCCCTTCTGAAATGCGAAAGCGGGTCACCCCCTATGGCTCGTTTATCACTTAAAACCAGGTCGAGGAAATTTGTGAGAATCTGCTAACCATAGACCCCCTTTTTTTTCCAAATCCGGCAAAGACCAGCATAAAGGTGGGCAACTTGTCAGGGGAAGGGGAATCAAGTGAGGGTGTCCAAGAATGGCGGGAGGCAACAAGTGGTTGGCTTCCTTGCCTTGTTGCCTTGCTTTTCGTCTCCCTTCAAACCAGGGGCCCTTTGGTGATCTTTGGTGTGTCGGCAACGCCCAGTTGAAGTCCAACCACACGGCCGCCACTTGCGCAGCGGGGGACCAGGGGTTTGGGATCCGATTCGCGGGGCTCTCGCCCACTTGTTGTAGGCCTGGATGCAGTCCGACCTGAGACGCATACTCGACAGGGGTCGCCGACTCCAAAGTAGACCGGATTGGTCAAACTGACCTGCCGCAAAAAATGATCCAGAGGAATAGAACAGTTGTTTTGCGTTTGGTCATACCAAAAGCAAACCAAGTTGTGGCTGCAATATTGGGTGTTTGACGGAAACCGACAACACTGCCGCCCTTCAAAGAAATTACAAACAAACTCATCTCAGTAGTTCCCTCGCCTTTGCGAGAAATCTGGACAGCCCCTCATGTTCTCCCACTTACAGTAGGGGGGTCAAAATCTAGAACCGCTTCCGGACTTTGAGTTCATGCCGTGCCGCCTTCAAATGCGTCCGAAATATGAACTAACCCTCATTCTGCCCAAATGGCCCAAAACCCAACATGGGCCCAGGCCAGAAGCCCGCGAAGAAGCGCATAAGGAAGCTCCTACGGTCAATTCTCGCAGTCCAAACTGAACAGTGGTCTTTCTCGAAATCTTCGTTTGAAATGGTCGGCGCTGGTTGAGAGACACTCTTCATTTGCTGGCTTCCTTTTGCTCTACTCAGCATGCAACTGCCCAGGAAAGCAGGGCTCCCGACCAAATTTGGGGACCTTTGCACCAGTTGGTATGGATGAAACCCTGAAAACCTGGGGCAATCGTAAGCTCCACTCCTCCCCTTGGAGCCTGCGACCTGGTCTACCTGCCACGAAAAGAAGGCACCAGCCGCCACAACAAAGGCTCCGAGCATTTCCTAGGGGGGTAGGCCAAAAGGTGTCCTGGTGACCAAGTAGACATTAAAACGCAGAATGAGGCAACTTGATTTCAGCACAAGCAAGGGCGACATGCGCGCACACACACACAAACACGCAAATACACAAACACACAAACACACAAACACATAGACGCACGGGTTGGCTTAAATGCGACATGCGCACCATGTCCACGGGTACCACTTGGGCGTCGCTTGGTACCTCTTGCGAGACGAGAGCGCAGTGTGTGAGGTTCTTTGGTTCCATCTTCTGAAGTGAAGGCAATCACAAGAATCCTTTTGGATTTCTGGGTACCGAGGAAGGTCTCCCCTCGACTCAGCCTCTAAGCGCCTCAGCCCCAATTCACCGACCCAAAACGTTGGATCCCTTAAGTAACTTAAACGGGAACCTTCATCAGCTGGAAAAGCCTGCCCCGATTGATTTCGCGATATTGTTGCTCAAACGGATTCATTTCCCATGAGCAGCGGGAAACCCTCTCGCTGAAGATGCTTGGGGCTTGTCATCCGAGGCGATTGTTGTTTATGAAGGGTATGAGCCCGCGTTAGTTGCCGATGCAGATTCGGGTCACCACAACACCGCTGATGTTCTGCCCTTCATCTTCTCGCTCCTGCGCACGTGTGATGCAAACATCGCGCTCAGGCATGGTACTGCCTTAGGCCTTAGGAAGGAACTCGCAGAAATGAATGGGCAGGGTGGCCATGTCCTGCTGATTCAGCCGCTTCTTGAAAAGGCGAGATTCGTAGACCACCAATGCGATGGGATACATGACCTCATCCAAAGTAGCTGGACTTCACGCACTGCAGCCAGAAATGGCTGAGTTCAGGGCAAGCTCCAAGAAAACCGCGAAAATGCAGCCTGGGCAGGGTGGGTGGGTGGCGAACAACCAGAGCCCAAGCCAGATCACACCTATATGGCCAGAGTATGGCCAGACCCCACAAGATCAGCATGCGGTAAGGCCCAGTCAAAGCCCCATGAAGAGGCCAAACTCCCTGAGCGGCATGAGGACGCTCATCAGGTTCACTAGAAAGCTGCCTTGGCGCCAGGAAATCGGAACGCGGATTTCAATAATGACAGTAAGCCACTCGCGCAGGGAAGCATACACTGGTCGTCATACGTGACCCACTGCTTCCAATGACCATTTCAGCTAACCTCCTGCTGCTTGGAATCCTTAGATTTTCTCATCCCCGCACGCTCTGGTTTGTGGTAAAATGGGCACGCGCTGCTCCGCCCTCTGAATCACGCAAAGACCGGGCATTGGCCACGCCCTCATTTGCTCATCACTGAGACTGAGCCAGCCCCAAGCAGGAGCAAAGCAGAACGAACGCCCTCGAGGCAACCCAAGCCGAAGCGCAGGCCCAGGGCTGGTTGCTTGAAGGTCTCGTGTGGTTTCATGTTCAGGTTATTTCAGGTTCTTCATGGCAATCCAATGCGGCGAGGTAATCCTGCAATGCACGCTCTAACTCCTTTACATGTGTCCATGTGTCAAAACTAATCTTGTGGGTCATGGGTCCCTCAAGGAATGTTCATGATTCATGGTTGTATTAACTCCCGGGGAGTCCATGACCTACCAACCCCAAGTTGACCGTGGCACAGCATATTTGGTTCAAATGTGGTGATGGCGGTGATCTGAGCAGCCCGAGCTAGCGCCGCAGAGGCCGGTGGTCAAGCAGGAGACGCCAGCATTGCTGTAGACCTCAGCACATTGCAGCCATCCAAGGTAGCCCTTGACAATCTCAAAATCAGGATGATCACGGGGCGAGTTTGCGTGTCTCAAAGAAAAATGAGCCCGGTCAAAGACACTTTCTATAAGTTCAAGGCTAGGACAACCCTTTGTTCAAACACAGTTCGTGCGCCTTGATTCTCAGATCTCTGCCAATGAACTTGCCTTGCCAGTGCCCGCGATACTTTCCGTGTCAGAAGATCCCCTTCTGCAACGCCCCTATAAACTTGGAACGCCTGGGTCCACTATTTTCAAGCTCAGGTGGCTGGACTCGAGCCAACCTGCGAAACGCACCGAGACGACAAACCCCCTGGAAATCCCCTGGGCCAAACATCAGACATCCCGGCAACACGTGGCTCAACACGAACGCGTCGACACCCCGGTCCTCGGCGCCCACACCCACACCAGCCTCCCTTGGAGAAGCCTGTGGAAAAGGCAGGCGGAGTCTTTCCGGATTTTGGCCCAAGGTCTGAATGATGATGATAATGATCATTGATGATAATGATGATAATGATGATGATAATGATGAGCATCTATGTGTGTATATATATATATATATAATATATAGATATGCATTTCTTTCAGCTTTGTTCCCATGGGACTTGTGGTTCTGGCCTGTTTCTTCCAGCTTTCACTTTACCCCTACTTGGTTGCTGGGATTGGTTTAGGGATCTGAACTTCAGTGCCTCTTGAAGATAGGAAGGTATCACTTCTCCAAGAGCACAACCCAAACCATCAATTCAGGGCAAATGCGATTTATTTTGGCACCACCCCCGAACGTGGAAAGGTGAGATTCCCAGGTACATCCAAGCGGATGTCTGGACATGCAGGTGGGAGGCAAAGTGTGTGCGTGCTTCGACGGTGTCCTTCGCTCTCAGGGTTGATTCCCCATTAATTTCGACAACTGTTCCTTACAAACATGGTTTCTGGCATGTTCTGAAAAGAAGGACCCCCTCGACAGAATGAGGACGTAAAGCGTACATTGATGGAACACGAAGGGTCATTGTAATGCCCGAAGTTGAGAAACACGACGCTGGAAACAGATTTCGTTCAGGGTAACCTTTGGGTTCGGATATCATCCAAGATCGAGTGACAATTTTCAGGCAAGTTGAATCTCCGCCCACTGGTCTGGCTCAAGGGTGATTCAAACTACATCGTAGGCCACCCCCAAAGAAAGCAGCCCTCTTTTTACTCCGTTGGGCCGCCAGCCTCTCGTGCATCCTGCAGGCTTTCTCATACTGGTCCAGCTCTTCGTCTGGATCATCCTGCAAGCCGTTTGCTGGCAAACCAACATGTGCCAATAGGCCTGCTGCAAGGCCAAACAAAATGCATGCTGTTTGCCATCCCACGGATTGCATACACATGTGTATGTACCATATACAACGCATACTCAAACAAACATAAACCGAGTGTATAATGAAATGTAAAGCGTGGTGACCGCGCCCGTACAGGAGCTTGCGTTGTCAGCATGCAACCCCGGCCGCTGCAATCGCAAAACGCGGTTGCGCCTAGACAAGGCGCGCATCTCCTGGACAAAATGTTCAGAAAAATGCCAAATCCTCCACGACGGTGTTGTCGGTTTGGACCTGATACGCGTTTCGTAGGCGAATACATATTTTTTGGAAAAAGCTAGCAAAACAAAACTAACTTCGTGCTTCAGGCCGCCGTGCAAAGCTTGCCCAGCTGCACGAGCAAGGTTCTATCTGTCTGGGCGTGGCGAGATTGCCATGCTCGGAGATACGGCATGCATCGCGGCGCGGCGCCCGAATTCGGCTGGCGATTTTTCAGGGTTGGTGGCAGAGCTGCTTTGCAGTTGCTCCACAGCCAAGTTTGCCAGCGAATAAAAGGGGTGCAGCCCTCTCCCAGGAGACCAAGGCGCATTCGAAGTCTGTGGCTTGGCGATGCCCCTTCTCCATCTGTGGACGAAATATCTTGAACATTTGAATCCGTATCCCTCGGCGGCCGAGGGCTATCTAAAAGAGTGGTCCAATCTCCAGAAAGCCAAGGTTTTCTGCCACTACTATGGGGGCACGATTCCGAGATCACGAACATTCCGAACGGTCTGTTGGGCATTTCAAACCATCTGTTGCCTCCAAAGGTATCCAACATCCACTCATGTGTTGGAGACACCACCTGCGTGGAGCCTGCGAGTTGCAACCAACCCACCAATACATTCACCCGACACTCAGCTGTCGAGACCATCCACCGCAGCAAAACAACCGCGCGTTCAAAAACGCATGCGCTTCTGCGCTAGGCGTTGATGCAGTGCTGGCGGGCTCGCTGTTGCTGGGGCGCGCATCAGTCCGCAGGCGTGGATGCAACGCTGGCGGGCTCATGGTGTGGATGGAGTGCTCAGCGGGCCACTCTGACGGGGGCGCTTTCATTTGAGGATGCAGTCTCAAAAGCGGGCTCACTGTTGCGGGCGCGCTTATCATTCGGCAGGCGTGGGTGTAGTGCTCGACGGGATCACTGTTGTGGGGGCGCTTATCATTTGGCAGCGTGGGTGCAACGATGGGCGGGCTCACTGTTGCGGGGGGGCTTATCATTTGGCAGGCGCGCTTATTTTTCGGCAGGCGTGGATGCAGCGCTCAGCGGACTCACTGTTGCGAGGGTGCTTATCATTTGTATCACTTGGCAAGCGTGGATGCAGTGATGGACAGGCTCATCTTGCGGGGGTTCTTATCATTTGTCAGGCGTGGATGATGCAGTGTTGATGGGTCACTGTTGCGGGGCGCTTGTCATGTGGCAGGTGTGTGAAGCATTCCGCGGAGCGGCGATATTGGTGCCAACGCCCGTCAGAACCCTGCGAACATGCAAACAAGAAAAATGTCAAATTTGGCCAACCATGTAAAATGTCACAATTGGTTGAAAACGCAAGGTCCTGTACAGGCGCTGTCACCTAAAACATGCACTTGTGTAAGTGTGTGTGTGTGTGTGCGTGCGTGTGCATGCGCATACAACATACTACCTTTGTGTATGCACGGCATTGGCAAACTCAATGAGCGATGTCCGCTGTGGTCCTCCTGTTCTACCGGCTTGGCATTCTGCGCACTCTGGCGCCAGGCGTCTGTCAGCACGAAGACCAGGTCCGAGCCTCGCTCGATGTTTAGCTAAAGGAAGACCTACACCCAGCAAATGCCCGTAGGGTTTTACAACAAAAGCACCTTTGGGTGTTTGGTAGTTGCTTGGTCAACGGTTTGCAAACGTCAAAAAGGCTTCCAATGGCAAAATTCAAAGTGTGTGTTACCCACACGTCACGCATGTGTTGTGGATGGCGCTTTAAGCGGAACGAGCCAACAACAAACTGTCATTTGGCCATGGGTCAAAACCCCGTACCTAGTGAACATCCCAATCCCCACCCCTAAACCCCACTAAACGACTAAAATGGGTGGTACCATTGGTTTTGACCCACTGCCATTTTACCAAAGGTCAAACTATCAAACAGGTCATTCGAGCCCAATGGGCAATCAATCTTGGGACGCCAACAGTGGATGGTCTCCTGTTGCCACTTTCAAAGAGCCACGCAAATGGTACCCTCATAAAACACCAACTGCACCCTAAAAACAAACACACGCACACACACAGACACACAGACACACACTCACAAACACGCACAAACAGAAACACGCACACACAAACACGCACACACACACACACACACACACACCCACCCACCCACCCACCCACCCACGCACGCACGCACGCACGCACGCACGCACGCACGCACGCACGCACGCGCGCACGCACGCGCGCACACGCGCACGCGCTCGCGCGCACGAGCGCGCGCACACGCACGCACCCGCACCCGCACACGCACACGCACACACGCACACGCGCACACGCGCACACGCGCACACGCGCACACGCGCACGCACACACGCACGCGCACACGCACGCACACGCACGCACACGCACATGCACACACGCACGCACACACGCACACACGCACACACGCACACACGCACACACGCACACACACACAAACACGCACACACACACACAGACACACACACACACATACCCACACACGCACCCACCCACGCACGCACGCACGCACGCACACATACACACACAAACACACACACACACACAGACACACACACACACACACACACACACACACACACACACACACACACACACACACACACACACACACACACACACACACACACACACACACATGCGCACCGCACGCACACGCGCACTCAAACACAGGCGCAAACGCAGATTCACACGCACACACGCGCACCAACGCAGGAACGCAGGCAAGCAGGCGCGCAGGCACGCAGGTACGCAGGTGCGCAGGCACGCACACACAAACTCACACGCACACGCACTCGGCACATACACACACAAAGACAGGCATGCGCGCGCACACACACAAACACAAACACACGCGCAAGCATACACACAAGCACAAACACAAACACAAACACACACAAACACAAACACGCTCTCATCGGGCAGTAGCTGACAATGCAAAGGCCCCTGCCCACCCCGATGATCACGAAGGTGGACACGCAGTTCACGATGCTCAGCTTCTTAGCGCCGTGATGCGGACGCCTCTCTATGAGTCTCACGAATCCTTTCTCTGGGTTTTACACGGTTGAGTTTGCGGACCAAGACAGTGGCACAATGGCCAAAGCTTGAACAATACGAGTCTTTTGTGCTCTCATTTTGAAAGGAGCCATTTTGCTCCCAGAAGTTGGCGGGCTGCGACTATCTGCGATCGCTCCCCACAACCATCAAGGAGTTCGCCGCTCCTCGCTCCCGAACTCCCAGCTGCTGTGAATGAAAAGTACCACCTTCGGGGGGACTGACTGCAAGGCAGCGTGTTTCGTTAATTGCAATCTTTAGGCAATCAAACAAGGGGCAGGGATGAACATTCGACGGACAGTCCCATTGGATCACTGCGGGGTCAACTTGCCAGCTGCGCCGCGCCAGTTCGCTCCTAGGAGACTTTCGGGTACCGAAATGTCAGGTACTGTATCGCAACTTCATTCACAAGCCGAACCTACTACCTACATGTTTGAACTGATTGAGAATGTTGTTGGCAGTTGGCACTTGTTTTCCCAGCCAAAGCGAATTCGGATTTCCCTTTGCAATCACAAAAGCCCATCAAAAGAGTCAACCCGAAACCGTAGGAAGTACATTCTAGATTCTAGGGATTCCCTAAGGCGCGCCCTGGCCTCAGCCGGGAAACCGCCTTGGGCTCACGCTGGCAGGCCTGAGAAGTGCCTGAAGAAGACGTAGCCTAACGGCATGCACCTTAGGTTGAAGGAAATTGAGGGATGCCTAAGCCAAGTTGATCTGCTGAGTTGTGTGTTGGTGGCCGGAAGCAACCGCACTGACGAGAGGTCACAATCCAAGCGTGACAACACCGCAGCACAAGCACCGGACAAAACGCCGGGGAGAAGACAATTGACAATCAACAACAAAACACGAGCAACGCAGCGTGGCTTCGGCCAAGCAAGACAAGATTTCTAAAACCCCACGGAGGGGATTGAGGGGCACAGAGTGACTGCGACCAGAGCCAGCCGCAGCGACAAGAAGCCCCCCCCCCTTCATGACCGCGCCCCGCCCATGAGAACACAAGACTCTAAAGCCAGGAACAGCGTGGCACAACCGTGACCAGGATGCGCCGCGCGGAGAACAGCGCCCCATGACCAAACAGACAAGCCATCTCACACACCCGGCCAGATTAAACGCTTGTAGTCCAGCAGCTTCGTTGCCCAAGGCTCACTACACCCTGAAGCAACACTTCCTGGAAACTCCGCGCGCCATGCTCGTGTGTGTGTATGCGCTGTAGGTCAGTCCGGCGTGTCTGCAAAAGAGTATTTGTTTGATCTGTTCGTGGCCTTGCCACTCATGCAACCAGACAGCTTCCTTCCAGACACAGTGGGCCGGCCGACGAGAGGGTCCTTTCTTGACTTGGAGTCTCGTCAAAATCAGCCCCCTTCCATAATCGGTGCAACTCCAAGAGTATCCGATTTTGACCGGGAACAAAAACAGGTCAGAGAAAGACCGGTACACCTGCAAGAGTGTCTTTTTTTGACCTGTTCAGAAGCTTGTCACATGAGCCACTTCCTTTTAGACATATGGGGCCCAGGCAAGGGGCCGACGCGGGATGAGAAAAGACCTGACCCTCCGAGAGGGTGGTGTGTGATGTGAGCAGCTTTCTTCCAGACGCATGCGGCCCGCCGACGACGCGGGCCAAAGCAAAAAGCACCAAATCAGAAAAAGATTCGCCCCGCCGAGAGAGGATCTTGTTTTGACCTGTTTGGGGGCTTGTCGTGTGAGCAGCTTCCTTCAGCGTGCCACGAGCATGTTTTGCGAATATTTTTAAATGACCCCTTTTTCGATGCCCCTTAAGCAAAGAGCCCAAAAAGCAAGCTCGTGTAATGTCCGTCTCCGCAAAACGGGTAGATGCCCCTTATACGCCCGCGAGAATGTTGACCCGGGATGAATAGGCTCTCTCAAGGTCGACAAGGTTTCGCAAAGCCAGTTTTAGAGGGACTCGGAGGGGCTGCTCCTGCTTGTCTTCTTTAGGGTCTTGGGTTTCAGGGTCTCTGGGTTCCTTTCAGGGTTTGGGCTTCAGGTTATAGCTCGGGTGTCAGGTGTACTTGGGGTTGGGGTTTAGGGATTCATGGTTGCGGGGATTCAGAGCACTGGCTTTGGATTTGGGATTGAGGGTTTGGGTTCAGGGTTCGAGGGAATCTTGTGTGTGTAGCGTTTTGGCTCAAGGGTTCGATTGCAGGGCTTTCAAGATGCAATTGCGATATTGAGGGTTCCAGGGGGTCATCGCGGGATGGTGCGGGCAATGCGTACATTTTGGTCGTATAATGCTCCTTGACAGCATGCGCTGCTGACTCAGGGTCATGTGGATGTCTGAGGGATGGCCCCCGCCCCCTTTCTGGAAGACTAGCACAAATTGCACCTTTCAGCTTTCTCTGACTCTTCCTCTCTGGCCCATTTGCCCTCATTGTGCTCTGGAGCGCACGCTACCGGGCCATTTGGGACCCGGCTCCAGGACAAGAAACGAGCCAATGCAAGAGAGCCTGAGGCAGCGATCGAATGGGGCTGTGATCAAAGTAAACCTCAGGGTTGCATTTTGCGAAACCTCCAAAGTCAAAGAGGGAAGAGGAAGAGGGGGCTTGTCACAATTATGCTTGGCTTGCAGCTTTTTGTTGGCCAAAGGGTCTAAAAAGGGGTGCCGAAAGGCGTCCAGAATCTTGCCAGCCTAAACAAGTGAATATGCTTTGAAATACATTCCCTCCAACAAACATGGCAGGGAACCAGAGGCCATCTATAAATGACAGGCGTCTGAAAAAGCCCTCTTGCTGCACCCTTGATCTCCCACACACGCAATCAGATTTGGTCCGGACTCCGCTTCTTGTATGAGGATGTTCATTCACTTCCCTGAAAACTGTGAGGGAAGTCCTCCAAACACAAAAGTTCCCCTCCACACAGAAAGATAGCCGAATCTGCGTGGCTTTTCCCGTGTTAGAGCGGCGAGTTTCTGTTTGAAGGCCCATGTTGGTCCAGGCAAACTGTGGGATTAAGGCAACATGGGCATTGGGCGTGTCAAGCCAATGAGGCCCTTTTGGACCCTCTTGGAAGCAGGTGCTAACGGGGCCCTATTTGATCCATTTTCATCTGAAGAAACCACCCAACTGCTCAAGGATCCACCCAAGCCTCAGCTGCCGCTATTTGAAACGTGCAGATTCCATGGACAAAATGTGTCCCCATCCATACAATCTGCACCCGACGGATCCGCCATCCAGTGTTCCATTTGGAAAGGAATTCACATAAAGCGCTAAGTCCCCATCTTTCTATATCCTGTCTATGGTTCATTGGGAACGAGCAACGCAAATGAGGCTCTGGCCAAAGGCTCCGCGTGTGCCCACAAATCAGCAGGAAGACCACTACCAGCCCTGAAACTCGCGGAAAGGCGCTTCAATTCATGGCAGGGTTCCTTGCATGTGTTTGGTTGCCGAGGGTTCCAGGTTCGTCCAAGAGTGTCAAGACTTGGAGGTAGAGTCATCACCCTGTGGCCAGTGCAATCTGTCCGGAGTGATTCCTTTTCCTCGGGGCACGGAAGCAACTGGTGAGCCCCCGTCGCACCATGGCTTGTCTTCAGAATGGAACCCCCTCGCAAAACCGTTAGAACCTCGGAGTCCTGAACGTTTTGGGATCTCAGGGAGCCGTCGTTTGATTTCCCGGGCGTGCGCTTGCGTGGACACTTCACCAGCGCCTGCCACGGAGAGAAGGATGTCCGAAAGCAGCGCGCTGAAGATGTCTGCCTGGTCCTCGGAGAAAATGCGTTTCACATATGAACCACGGCCAGAACATTATAGGCTGTTCCCGTTTAAATAAAAATATATCATCGTGCTGCCTGGCTCTTGTCGGAAACATTGTGAGTGCCACCCCCCCCCCTATGTCCGTCACGAATTAGCCATCCACTCCGGACATTTTGACCGAACCACATATCAACTCATAAGGAGAAACTATCACCAGGAATGGGTTCCTGGTTTGACATCGCTTCACCTCATCAGCAACAAGCGGCATTAAACACAAAAGCATGGGTCTGCCCTGGGAGGGGCCTCCCACCCAGACTGCAAGGCCCGCGCCAGCACCCCATTGCTATAGAAGACCCGAATGCCACGCTCCTCAAGAGAAAGCAGCCAATGCAGGTTGTTTGCGGTTGTGGTTGTGTTTGCAGTTGTGTTTGTAGTTGTGGTCGTGGTCGTGGTGGTGGTGGTGGTGGTGGTGGTGGTGGTGGTGGTGGTGGTGGTGGTGGTGGTGGTGGTGGTGGTGGTGGTGGTGGTGGTGGTGGTGGTGGTAGTGGGGGTGGGTGGTGACAAAAGGATGACTTGGTAAACTTCAAATGTCAGCAAACATCATGAACCATGAGGAATCTAATTAGTAACATCTTCCAAGCTTTGAGAGTGCCACGACTCCAAATAGCTGCTTTCCTTTCAGTTTCCTTTTACCAGCCCAATCAAACATCACATTTTCTACGCACCACACACCTGTTTGTGCCCAGCGCCCCAGAACAGGACCGCCCCAGCCATCTCAGGCGAGATCAGGAGTGCAGCAAAACGAACACAGGCGTCCTACTCCAGGTACGTGCTGAATCCAAAAAGAAAAGGAGATCCAATCTGACACTGCGGCGATGCTCAGCGGCAGCCCAGGGACGTTTGCTTGTAGTTGGAACCAAAGCTGCCAGTTCAGCACCACCTTTGCTTAATGCATCGTATCCTTTTGGATATACCGGCAGCAACTCCACTGTTTTCCCGCTAAACAGGTTACTTTCAAAAAACAGCGCTAGTCGGACCCAGGCCGCTTCAGGACTCTTGATCCAGTGCAGAGATAGCCATGAATCATGGGGAAGCGCATGCAAAACTTGGCGGTAAGATGCCCGGTAAGAAAATCTATAACCAGTAATGACCACATGCCACAATGGCTGGCAACTGAACACTCTGGGCAAATAGGCCGAAGCAACCGCCAGGAACTTCCCCGCTTGCTGTCCCTCATCTCTTCGTGCTGGTGGTTGAGAAGCGAGTGCAAATCCTGCGGGTTTGGCCATCGACCTTGGGGTCCCAATATCCAAGCATCCATATGGCTTGGTTCCGTTGGCTTCACTGGCACCTCATCAACGAACATGCGAAACATGTCTAGTCTCGGGCGTCAGCTTTCACTTCCAAGCCCTTCGCAAGAAAAGGAGTACTGCCGGATGTGAGTGTTTTCCAGAATTGGGGGGTCATTTGGCTGGCTTTGAGGGGAAACCAAAAGGGATTCCATGTTTAGGGGCGCCCTATTTTGAGACGCTCCATTTGCGATCCTTGAGAAACCTTCAAACTGATGAGCTGCCAGTATGTCCCCGGCACTAAAAACTACAAACAAGGACCCACCTTTTTGATTGTAAAAGGGAGAACATCTCAAGGGTTCCTCCTTTGTCTGGGACGTACTCGCCTGAACATGAACAAGCAAAAAAGAGCCCCGTGTCTAGAGGAATATCGGTTCCGCACCCTCAGAAAGGCGCTCCATGGTCGTTTGCAGGGGATTCTGGCACAGCGTTTCAAGACTTTGTCTGCCTGGTGTCCGGTTGGATGAGCAAAATCTACTTCGCGCCTGTTGGGATGGATGAACTGCTATTTCTGGTTCATAAACCGCCAACTGCTGCCTGGCGTGGATGTCGTAACCATCCACACCTTTGGCAAAGGCTGCAACATCGCCGCTCGCAGCTCGCACATCATCGCACATCGGTCCGCGTTGAAGAAGTGCTCCCTCGCAGCGGTTGCCTCCTCAGGAGAAAGCTGGATTAGACTTTCACACCCTACAACAAGTCGACCTTTCGGCTAGTTGGTAGGGGAAGTAGTCATTTTGAAAGGCACAAACCGATTTGAACAATACCCTTCTCGCAAAATTGCCATACCGCCAAAGAATACAAAAAGCAGGCTGCGGAGGAATCTCCTTTTGAGATGGCTTGAGGCTTCAGACAAGCTGCTGAGCAATGAGAGCAGAACGAAAGCTGGATTTGTCTCTCTCGTGGGAAGCAACATGGAAGCCGAAGGGGACAGCAAGCACACCGAGACCTTGTTTCTTGCACCAAGGGATCCTTATGCTTCCCCTTTTGACATCATCCACCACAGGGAAACCATCCAAAGGAGACTCTCAAATCAAACAATTACCTTGCAGTCTTGGACCGCCTTAATGGATAGAGCTGGAGCCAAAGCCCAGGACTGCAGGGATGTACGAGTAGATGGTTGCCATCCTCTAAAAACTGGTGAGGCTCCAACTGGGCTCCACTTGCGATTCCGCGAAACAAGCCACTGATAGGCTTCCAAAGGCTAAAACCGCTTCCTGCAGGAATGGTTCTCTCTCTCTCTCTCTCTCTCGATCTCCCTGGCGTAAGGCATGGGCGTAATTGCTCTTATAGTAGCCAGCATCACCTCAGCCAGGTTGCAGTTTTGCTCTTGCTGGACCGTGGTAGGCCGTTGCAACCTCCTGCTTCCAACATCCAGTGTTCAGCCCAAAATCACAAAAACACACGTCGACGAATATGCACAGACCACCCACAGCAACCAACATCTCATATTTGACAAGACGCCAATGCCATTCTCAGGCTGACACAAAGGGGGTTAGCGCAAGGGAATACTAAGTCAAGACAGTAGCGGGTCAGCTCAAAGGAATGCTGAACTAGTTCTAAATCACTACTCAGCAGTACTGACCGGGAGAATATGTTTGTTTCAAGGTTTTCTTCTATTGACTCCACCCCCATTTTGTTTGGGGGGAATTACTACCTGGCATTGACTTAAGCGAGCTTTCCACTTGGTTCCTGCAACGACGAGAAATGGCGTGATGTCCGGCAAGTACTTCGGAGTTTGTACTAATCAGCGGTCACCAGTTTGGCCAATCTGTCTTTCTGTACCACCCACGATTTCCACGGAACCCATCAGAATTCCCTTTTAAGAGGAATCAGGGTAATCAGGGGGCAACATCAATTAGTGGCACCAATGAAGGCCATCGCCCCAGTCGCCACCCGAGCCGCGGCCCGTGCCAATGGATTCGCTGAAGAGGAAGAAGGACCTCACCAAAGCTGCAAAAGGGGAAGCCTCAAGTAAGGCGTTTCGAAACCAGAACAGATCTGCCAAACGGGTACTTGACCAAAGGTTGATTTGGTTTTCTGAAAAACCCTGCGAAAAAAGGGAGGTCCTGAATTTTAGGAACACTCAAGTGTTGCTCAACAGAAATGTGGAGGGACTCTGTCCGTCTGCTGGAGTCTCGCACACAGTTGAGTCATGATGAAAAACCTGGTGCAAAATGTGGGGTGAACCCAACGACATGCAAAGATTGCCAACTTGCCTTCACTTGCCCTGTTGTTGACATGTGACTCGGTTGAAACAACACACACGCACATACTGATATGCATACGCATAAACACACACGCACACAAATGACATACACTGTACACACGCGCGCACACGCCCGCGCCACGCTCCTGTCAATATCTTTGATGAACAGTGCTTCGCCAGCTAGGCATTCCAAACTGGCACCTGGCAGATGGCAAACTTGACCCTGCCTTCTGCATTTCCCAAACGGCCAGCACCAGATTGAGCATTCAAAGTTGAAGCATGAAAAACTTTGAGAGCTTTAGCTATTACTTCATGGAGGCTTCAGGATCAATCACTCTACAACTCCTCAGACATGTGGGAATGTGTCAAGACGAGTCAAGCCCAAATGAAGAAATGAAAAGGAAATAAAAGTAAAAAATAACATGTGACTCTAGATTGAGGAAAGGAATGACCATGGTCTTCACCATTAAAATATGTTTCACGTAACTGTATCATAGAAACATATGCCATTGTCATGTTATATTTCGTTACTTATATTCCTGTGTTATTAATCTTTGCAAATATTACAATTTGATTTATCCTTCAGGATTTAATATGTAGACTGGAAGCTATGCATTCACAGCGAAGCGACTAACAAATCCCTGGCATAATGGTGTGGATTTACTTACTTTTCTTATTTATTTTCTGTTTTTTGTTGTTGTTTTTTTGATGTTTTCCCGTTTTTCGTCCGGGCCAGTAAAATGTCGTCGTATTTTACAGCATTTTCTCGCGAAATTGACGCATTTTACACTAGCCCGTCAACATCCCCAGCAGCGTTTTCAACATCCCCCGCATTTCTGACCAACATCCCTAGCATCACCAACAAATCGTGGCTAACAAATCCAAAAAGTAGCTGGCGGGCTGACGGGGTCAAACATTCAAACAGGAGGGCATTTCAATCCCAGAAAACAACTATTAAAAGTAGTTTTAAAAAAACGGGGGGTTGGGGGGGGCGGCAGCCCCCCCCATGATGTTCGAAGAATTGATGATTCAACTAGGGGTGCAATTAAATCTGTGTAGAAAATATAAAACGTAGCGGGGGGGTTGGGGGGGGCGGCAGCCCCCCCCATGATGTCGGAAGAAGTGATAATTCAAGTAGGGGTGCAATGATTCAAGAAAGGGTGCGATAGAATTTACAAGGCAGCGGGAGGGTTGGCGGGGGTGGCTTCCCCTATGATGTTCGAAGAATTGCATACATCCAGACATACATGGATTACACAGAATGTCGTATTTTGCAGCATTTTCTCGCGAAATTGGACGCTCGTATGTCAGGCGAACCAACCGCATGCAACCACAAACCCTCCTAGACTGCGGTAAACTTAGCCGGGCTTCCCTCGTTTTTCCCCTCTTTCCCCTTCCCCCCCGCCGGAATGTGTGCGGCATCCCAAGATCGACTGGGGCGCCGTGCCGCATCACATCTGTGTGGGCTTTCTGCCCGCCCTCCGGCGCAACGAAGTCCTGAGCCAGAATCAAAACTGCGTGCGCCTCTAAGACTTAAAGCGGGTCTGCTTGACTCTAACGTGATCTTACAATTTCTGGTTCTGCACGATAGAACACATTCACCTAATGGGGTTCACCCCTTAACTCTTGACTTGAGACGTGTGCTGTTGTCCTTTCCAGGTTGGCAAATTTCTGACCTCCCCACTCTTCATTCCCGTGGCCACATAGATCCACTACTGGCTTTTGTGGTGAGCACCTTAAAAACACAGCTAATTCAATGTTGCTTCCAGCCCCCTTGCCATCGCTTGCTTGCCCGGTGATCGAACGTGTAAAGAAAAGGGTCCTCTCTTGGCCGATGTTGAAGCGAATACCCAACCGCACAACTGGTTTGGCCCCCAAAACAAAACAACACAAAACACAAAACAAAAACTTCGCGGACTGCACTGCAGGCCCTAGAGCATCTACTGATGTAGTCGCAAGGGAAGCTACTGCTAGCCAGCGGCTATTGCTTACATTTGCTCGAGTAAGAAGCCATGGAAAATACAAGATGTACCAGTCAGCAAAGTTCCCCATAAAACAAACAGGAAAACTCGCGAAGCGCCTTGCGCACAGGGGCATGAATTGACATGGGGGGGCCGCATGTTGGACCTTGACTTGCATGTTTTTGCCTACGCCCCGCAAACAGTCGTGGCGTTTCATGGTTTTTCGTTTGCCCGCCAAGCGCATGGGTTTCCATCTCTAAATGGCTCTGGATGAAACCTGGTCAGCTCCATAGACTGGTGAACTTGCAGCTGGGATGTTTAAGCAAAAGGACTTTTCACCGAACCACAAAACGTGGGCTTTCGCACACGCGACCCGCCCACGCTCTCCATCGCACGCCTGCGTACATGTCTGGCAGACGGTAAGCACACCCGCCCACGCTCTCCATTCTACGCCTGTATTACACGCACATGGCCCGCGCTCTCCGTCGTACGTCTGAGTATGAGTGCCTGGCACCTGGCAAGCACGCCCGCCCGCGCTCTCCGCCGTACGCCCAAGTGCATGCCTGGCACATGGTAAGCACACCCGCTCAAGCTCTCCGTTGCACGCCTGAGTACATGCCTGGCGCACGGTACGCACACCCGCCTACGCTCTCCGTTGCACGCCTGCGTACATGCCTACCCGCCCAGGCTCTCCATGTTTTTGTCCACCCATTTGTTGTGGGCTGTTCCTACCGTTGAAACTGACACCAAACGGAAGCTGAGTGACTCTTGGGCCCTCCCTCGCGACTCGCTCTGGACACCCAGACCTTCGGGAAGAAGCGAGACAGCCTGCCATGCGGCTTCCGTGCGTGGGTAATTGAGGATCCTTTCTCTCGGCCCAACTTGTTGGGCAATCATTGGGTGACTTTTGTTGCTATCATCATGACTTAAGGCGGTTTCGTCACGGTAATCAAAAACGTGAGTGATTCTTGAATATGTGTGGGGCTGTTATCGGTGATGTTTGTGATTGTGCAATTGTCGATGCTATTTTGCTATGAAACTGACTTAAGGTGGTTTTGTCACGGTAATGGAAAAGACACGTCGGGTGATTCTTGGGTATGTGTGGGGCTGTTATCGGTCATGTGTGAGATTTGCGCAATTGTCGATACTATTTGCTATCATCAGGACTTCAGGTGGTTTCGCCACAGTAATTAAAAAGACACGTGGGGCGATTCTTGGGTATGTGTGGGGCTGTTATCGGGAATGTTTGTGCAATTGCCGTTACTATTTTGCTGTGATCATGACTTACGGTGGTTTCGTCACGGTCATCGAAAAGACACGTGGGGTGCTTCTTGGTTATGTGTAGGGCTGTTATCGGTAATGTTTGTGCAATTGTCGATACTGCTTTGCTATGAAATTGACTTGAGGTGGTTTCGTCACGGTAATGGAAAAGACACGTGCGGTGATTCTGGGGAATGTGTGGGGCTGTTATCGGTAATGTGTGTGAGTTGTGCAATTGTCGTTACCATTTTGCTTTGATCATGACTTAAGGTGGTTTCGTCACGTAAATCGAAAAGACACGCAGGGTGATCCTTGGGTATGTGTGGGGCTGTTATCGGTAATGTTTGTGCAGTTATCGATACTATTTTGCTATTTAAATGGACTTGAGGTGGTTTCGTCTCGGTAATTGGACAAGACACGTGGGGTGATTCTTGGGTATGTGTGGGGCTGTTATCGGTCATGTGCGAGATTTGCGCAATTGTCGATACTATTTTGCCATGAAATTGGCTTGAGGTGGTTTCGTCACGGGAATTGAAAAGACACGCGGGGTGATCCTTGGGTATGTGTGGGGCTGTTATCGGTAATGTTTGTGCAATTGTCGATACTGTTTTGCTATGAAACTGACTTGAGGTGGTTTCGTCACGGTAATGGAAAAGACATGTGGGGTGATTCTTGGGTATGTGTGGGGCTGTTTTCGGTAATGTGTGTGAGTTGCGCAATTGTCGATACTATTTTGCTATTAATTTGACTTGACATGGTTTCGTCACGGGAATCGAAAAGAAACGTGGGGTGATCCTTGGGTATGTGTGGGGCTGCTATCAGTAATGTTTGTGCAGTTCTCGATACCATGTTGCTACCATCATGACTCAAGATGTTTTTAAAACACCCAACCCCAAGAAGCCTGTGGGCTTGTCCTACTTTCTTGGGCTGCCCCCCCCCCCCCCGATGGTTTTCAAGGAAACCAAAAGCAAAGCTCGACCATCGGGGGGTGGCCATTTTGAGACACATTCATACGAGCCCAGCACAAACGAGTTGCTTTAGCAAAACGGGCATGAGTGGTCACCTTGTTCCCCCTATCCTCCCCAAACCCTTCAGTTGTCTGCATTTGATTTGCGTGCGTCACAAGCCAGCCGGAACAGCTGTGTCCGAGCCGCAGCCCGTGAAATCAGCCATCCTTCCAACCTCTTCCAACGGACGCAGCCGACTGCCGGAGTTCGACACCTTTTGCTTGACCTGCATCCACTCTTCAAAAGACTTCAAGGAACCTAAACAGCTATCGTTGTCAACAAGACTCTCGATACCATTTGGGCCCGTGGATGAATCGTTCTGTTCATTTTCACGGCCGGCAACCACTCGCCCGAACTCGCCTGTCGTGCTTTGAGGGCACATCCCGCAATCCCGCAAGCACCGCCTGCGTGGGCTGAACCAGTGAGCCTTCCGTTGCTCTTTTGTCGAGGGTATTCTTTGCGGGGGTGTGCAAAGAGAAATGCAAGAACACCCAACCGTTTGTGGAGGTCCGACCTTTTGAGACAGACCAAGTGCTTCAGGTGCCACATGAAATACATTCGTCTGCGATGAACATTTCCTCCGAAACCGGCTCGGCAGAATCAAGCAAATGTGTAAGACGAATGGCAGTGCACCCAGGGTCCCAAGCTCCTGCTTTTGCATGCTTATGCAATTACTCTCAACATGAAAGCGCAGCCCCCTGAAGATGAAAACATCCGGCTTGCAATATGGATCTAGCCATGTTTGTGGGTTGGGAGGATGCACACGCCTGTCTCCCAAGCCAGCGCTTGTCGTGAAGCGTTGTTCATCTTTGTTCCAGGTCCCCGAGTTGTCGAAAACATCAGAGAACCACCATTTTGCCATTTTGACTCAGCCAGGTCCACCATTCAGTGAACTTTCAAGACAAGAAACTCAAAAAAGGAATGGACGGTTCGACCTGTCGTTGTGCCCGCCTCTGGTGGGAGGAACCGGTTCCCGCTGCCATCCATCTCCAGCCGTTGCTTGCCGCCCACGTCTCAGCCGTTGCCGAGCCGTGCTAACCAAGCGTTGCCTGCGATGGATTTGCTACGCTGGGCACAGACATCATCAGTGACACAGCGTCGTGGTACGGCTGCCAGACTGGCTCTCCATACTATAACGCATGCAACCAACTACTTTGCTTTGAGCACGCCCTACCGCCGGCCTCTGGCGCGACGGCAGAGCAACTCAGTCAAACCAAACTGGCACCGAGGCAGCGTTGACCCCTAATCAAAAGCAGCCTTATAGCTGTTGTGGAATCACGCTTCCTGCTTGGCGTGGGGCGCTTTGATTCTTCAAGGGAGACGTGATCCGGAGAAGCTCCCGGAGAATGTGATTGGGGACCCGAATCCCGAATCCCGAATCCCAACTCCGGGCCGCTGAGGACCCAGGCACCCAGGCACCCAATCCCGAATCCCGAATCCCGAATCCCGAATCCCGAATCCCGAATCCCAACTCCGGGCCGTTGAGGACCCAGGCACCCAATCCCGAATCCCGAATCCCGAATCCCGAATCCCGAATTCCCGAATCCCAATCCCGAATCCCAAATCCCGAATTCCCATTCCGAGCCCTCGGCTCTCGGACAGCCAATCCCGAATTCCGAATCCCGAATCCCGAATCTCGAATCCCGAATCTCAACTCCGGGCCGCTGAGGACCCAGGCACCGAATCCCGAATCCCGAATCCCGAATCCCGAATCCCAAATCCCGAATCCCGAATCCCGAATCCCGAATCCCGAATCCGGGCCGTTGAGGACCCAGGCACCCAATCCCGAATCCCGAATCCCGAATCCCGAATCCCGAATTCCCAAATCCCAATTCCGGGCCGTTGAGGACCCAGGCACCCAATCCCGAGTCCCGAATCCCGAATCCCGAATCCCGAATCCCGAATCTCGAATCCCGAATCTCAACTCCGGGCCGCTGAGGACCCAGGCACCCAATCCCGAAACCCGAATCCCGAATCCCGAATCCCGAATCCCGGATCCCGAATCCCGAATCCCAACTCCGGGCCGTTGAGGACCCAGGCACCCAATCCCGAATCCCGAATCCCGAAGTCCCGAATCCCGAATCCCAATTCCGGGCCCTTGAGGACCCGGGCATCCAATCCCGAATCTCGAATCCCGAATCCCGAATCCCGAATCCCGAATCCCGAATTCCCATTCTGAGCCCTCGGCTCTCGGACAGCCAATTGGCGGGCTGCGTTCCGCCCAACCCCCCCGCCTCTGTTTGGCGGAGCTGCGCCCCCCCCCCCCAACCCCCCCGCCTCTGTTTGGCGGAGCCCGGCGTTCTTCGTCGTTCTTGTTCAGTTCTATCACGGGGGGAACCCCCCCGCTATGTTTGGCGGAGTTGTTCAGTTCTATCATGGGGGGGGGGGCGTAGCCCCCCCCAACCCCCCCGGCTATGTTTAACGGAGCCCGACGTTCTTCGTTGTTCTTGTTCAGTTCTATAATGGGGGGGGCTGCGCCCCCCCCAACCCCCCCGCCTATGTTTGGCGGGCTGCGCCCCGCCCAACCCCCCCGCCTCTGTTTGGCGGAGCCCGGAGTTCTTCGTGGTTCTTGTTCAGTTCTATAATGGGGGGAATGGGGGGAGGCTGCGCGCCGCCCAACCCCCCCGCTATGTTTGGCGAAGCCCGACGTTCTTCGTCGTTCTTGTTCAGTTCTGTCATGGGGGGGCTGCGCACCCCCCAACCCCCCCCCCCCCATGTTTGGCGGAGCCAGACGTTCTTGGTCGCTCTTGTTCAGCTCTATCATGGGGGGCCCCGCCTATGTTTGACGGAGCCCGACGTTCTTCGTTGTTCTTGTTCAGTTCAATACTCCGGGCCGTTGAGGACCCAGGCACCCAATCCCGAATCCCGAATCCCGAATCCCGAATCCCGAATCCCGAATTCCCGAATCCCGAACCCCAATTCCGGGCCCTTGAGGACCCGGGCACCCAATGCCGAATCCCGAATCCCGAATCCCGAACCCCGAACCCCGAATTCCCATTCCGAGCCCTCGGCTCTCGGACAGCCAATTGGCGGGCTGCGTTCCGCCCAACCCCCTCGCCTCTGTTTGGCGGAGCTGCCCCCCCCCCCAACCCCCCCGCCTTGTTTGGCGGAGCCCGGCGTTCTTCGTCGTTCTTGTTCAGTTCTATCACGGGGGGAGGCTGCGCCCCGCCCAACCCCCCCGCTATGTTTGGCGGAGTTGTTCAGTTCTATCATGGGGGGGGGCGCAGCCCCCGCCCAACCCCCCCGCCTATGTTTAACGGAGCCCGACGTTCTTCGTTGTTCTTGTTCAGTTCTATAATGGGGGGGGCTGCGCCCCCCCCAACCCCCACGCCTATGTTTGGCGGGCTGCGCCCCGCCCAACCCCCCCGCCTCTGTTTGGCGGAGCCCGGAGTTCTTCGTGGTTCTTGTTCAGTTCTATACTGGGGGGAATGGGGGGAGGCTGCGCGCCGCCCAACCCCCCCGCTATGTTTGGCGAAGCCCGACGTTCTTCGTCGTTCTTGTTCAGTTCTATCATGGCCCCCCGCTATGTTTGGCGGAGCCAAACGTTCTTGGTCGCTCTTGTTCAGCTCTAGCATCGGGGGGCTGCGCCCCCCCCCCCAACCCCCCCGCCTATGTTTAACGCAGCCCGACGTTCTTCGTTGTTCTTGTTCAGTTCTATAATGGGGGGGGCTGCGCCCCCCCAACCCCCCCGCCTATGTTTGGCAGGCTGCGCCCCGCCCAACTCTCCCGCCTCTGTTTGGCGGAGCCCGGCGTTCTTCGTCGTTCTTGTTCAGTTCTATCACGCCCCCCCCCCAACCCCCCCGCCTATGTTTAACGGAGCCCGACCCGAAAATGGGATTGGGCTTTGGGATTCGAATCCTGAATCCCGAAATTGGGATTGGGATTGGCGATTTCCGTTTTGGGATTCAAATCCCGAATGATTGGGATTGGCATCCCGTTTGGGCATCGAATCCCGAATCCCGAAATTGGGATTGGGATTCGCGAATCCCGCTTTGGGATTCGAATCCCAAATCCCCATTCCCGAAATTGGGATTGGGATTGGCGACTCCCGCTTTGGGATTCGAATCCCGATTCCCGAATCCCGAATCCCAAAACTGGGATTGGGATTCGCGAATCCCGCTTTGGGATTCGAATCCCGAATCCCGAAATTGGATTTGGGATTCGCGAATCCCGCTTTGGGATTCGAATCCCGAATCCCGAATCCCGAAATTGGGATTGGGGTTCGCGAATGCCGTTTTGGGATTCGAATCCCGAATCCCGAAATTGGGATTGGGATTCGCGAATCCCGCTTTGGGATTCGAATCCCGAATCTCCAATCCCGAAATTGGGATTGGGGTTCGCGAATCCCGTTTTGGGATTCGAATCCCGAATCCCGAATCCCGAATCCCGAAACTGGGATTGGGATTCGCGAATCCCGTTTTGGGATTCGAATCCCGAATCCCGAAATTGGGATTGGGATTTGCGAATCCCGCTTTGGGATTCGAATCCCGAATCCCGAATCCCGAATCCCGAAACTGGGATTGGGGTTCGCGAATCCCGCTTTGGGATTCGAATCCCGAATCCCGAATCCCGAATCCCGAAACTGGGCTTTGGGATTCGAATCCCGAATCCCGAAATTGGGATTGGGATTCGCGAATCCCGTTTTGGGATTCGAATCCCGAATCCCGCCAGGCGGGGCGATCTCCGGATCGCCACTCCTTCAAGGGACCAAGCAAGCTCTGGCTGACTGTTACAGCTGTCCTGGCCCGACCACTGGCGGGAGCCTTAGGCTTCGGAGTGTCGCAGCAGCCCGTCACAGGCTCCGTCACAAACGTCTGTCTGCCAGGTTTTGTCGCAGCTGTCTGTCACAGGCTCTGTCAGCGGGCAGTCTGGTTGTGGTGGCCATGTGTCACTTAACATCCAACAACCCCAAACCTGTTGGGTGGGGAAATACGCCCCTCAGGCACTGCAACATGCGTGCAGCTTCCAATGTTATGCAAGGCGCACAACATGTTGGAGATTGTCCAAAGTAGGAGTCGCCGCCCTTGAGACTCTGAGCCGGCAAAGCAGCTTCTGCTTTGTTTCTGCTCCTGCTTCTGCTTCTGGTGGTGACCGCGGCGGTGGTGGGGCTGGGTGTGGGGGTTTGCTGTTTCTTGTCTGCTGCCGCCTTTCAAGCGGATCCCCGGGAAATGGGTGCAGCCTGTCCAAAACAACAAGGGTCGCCCCTTGTTCGGCCACGAATGCCTTGCAAATACTCAGAGGATCGGAGCACCGAGGTGCCGGCTAACGGCTATGCCGTTGAGGCCGTCATTGTGGCTGGGCCTCCGGAATGGGCAGAAACTTTCACGGCCTCAAAAATACGGTGATCAGGAATCCCAACATGGGGGACACAGCATTGTTTGTGCGGGATCGACATGGGGCGCCTGTTTGGCAATCATGCCCAATGGGCGAATGGGTCTCTCGCCCACAAAATAGCTGCTGCCTTTTGGATGTTCATTTCCGGTGGAACGGAACTGCTCGCAGTCGCCGCAACAGGCATCTCGGCTTTGGTGACTCTTGTGGGATAATAAATGGGTGGACGCGTAGATATTCCCAGAATTTGTGTGGGACAATTCACTGCCAAGATGTTGTCAGTTGCTAAAGTGGCAAAGTCACAACAATCACCGATTGTCGAACCATCCAAAAGCTTGTCTTCTCCTTGACCCTGAAGAATACCTGGGAGCGCGTCGAAATCAAAGAACACCAAGACTTGGCGGGGTTGAACGCACGCAAAATGTCAGCCACTGCTACTTGGTGGAATACCTAGCAAGGAGGCGATGATTGGAGACAAACACCAAACCCTCCTTTCAGCACTCTCATTACTTGCCCAGTGGCCATCACCCATTTTCGCTGATTAAATTCGAACGGAACGGGGGCAAGTCCCCTGGACCACTGGGATTTTCTTTGAGCCCCCTGCCAGACCATGTTCACGAACGACTCCCCTGGTGTGCAGCCTGGGCCGATTTCGGAGGCGGTGAGTTCCTGTCCTGGGGCAAGGGTCTTTCGGACATGGCATCGTTCTTTCCGGCGCAGTCACCCCAGAAGCGTGACTGGTTCAAAGAGAAGAACTTTGACCCCACTCTCAAGTCACCCCGCGCTGGTGTAGACATCCCTCAGCTCAACCGCATCCTTCTCCCCGGGCCCCACACAAAATGTGCGTTTACCTGGGGGGGTGGGCGCCAGAAGGCACTCCTCATTGAAGGGGCTTCAGGAATCAGGGTAGCGTACCTGCCCAGTCGCCAATTCCAGTGCCAAAGCCAATCTGACGAACCCCGGCTCAACTGACTCGTCAAGTTGGTCTCGCTGCTGAACTCCTCCAGGGCTCGCTTCGTCAAAGGGGGTCCCTTGAAATCGCGAGCATCAACACGGAGACCTCCAAACATGCGGTTGCGCAGGAATCTCTCGGATCAACCCTTCATTTCTGTTTCGGGATCTCCGTTCATTTCTGGATTTCCTCTTGCCAGGGAGGAATGAATTGGAACCCGACCTTGAACACACCCAGCTCAATGAATGGTGCTCGCGTCATTCACCAAAGGGGGATGAACTGGACGAATGCAGTTCCCCTCAAACACCCAAGTCGTTCTGCTCCCTTAACCAATTGGTATTTGCTCAAGTAGAGCACCGCCTTTCCCGGGCGTGTGGACGGATCCATTGCGCACTGCAGCTGACATTCACTCCATCCTCCAGTCTAGCACTTCCTGCCTTACACCAATCTGTCAAAGCTCGAGATTGGAGCTTGCATCTCTTTCACTTTCTCTTTCCTTAGAACTCATAGT